CATCCTATTTCTCCTCCTCTTTTGCTTCCTCCTCCTTCCTATTAACCCATATCTGATGGGCATGGCATGTACGTACATGCCATGCCCACTGTCAGTTTACTTTTTTAATTGTTTTTACACATAGGTGGCTACACTTGTACTAAGTCACCAGTGAGCCAGTTACGAGTACTGCCTGACTCGCCTGTTTACCCTTTTCCTTGATTTTTGAAACTATTTTACTTTATCTTATATTGCAGTTACTAATGTCAGTAAAATTATAGTAATTATAATGTCTGTGATATCAATAACACCATTGAAATTCATAACATTAGTCAAAAACATGTAAAAGGTGAAATCAGGTAAGGTCACAAAGTCTACCAATTGACTCCTTTGTGGCTAAGCAGTAGATATTTCACAAAAAAAAAGAAAAAAGATCAAAGCATTTTCTTGGTGAGATTGAGTTAGTATTGATATGCAGTTTTTATTATAGTTCATCATTACTGGCTTTCCTGTCAATGTAGTGTTTGGGTAGTATTTTCTAGTAGGAGGGCAGGGATTGAAAGAACATACAAAACACACACACACACACACACACACACACACACACACACACACACACACACACACACACACACACACACACACACACACACACACACACACACACACACACACACATACACATACACATACACATACACATACACATACACACACATACACATACACATACACACACATACACACACACACACATACATACACATACACACACATACACACACACACACACATACACATTGTTATTGTTATTGTTATTGTTATTGTTAGTATAATTAGCATTCTTATTGTTATTTAGTAATGTTACTAGTTATCTGATTGTAGTATATGGAGTAATAGTAGTATGATCATAGTATTATAGTATTTTATTATTTATATTTATTTATAATAATTCAATATTATTATTATTATTATTATTATTATTATTATTATTATTATTATTATTATTATTATTATTATTATTATTATTATTATTATTATTATTATTATTTTATTATTATTATTATTTATATATTCATTTTTTAAATTATTGTTATCTTCCTCATTAACCCAATCTGCTTGAATGGCAAGCATACATGCTATGCTCACTGTAATATAAGTTTATTTATTGTATTTATGCACAAATAGCTCAACAAGTGGTCAGTCTCCAAGGAGTCAGTTATTAGTCCTACCTGTCTCACCTGTTTGCCCTTTACCTTATTTCTTTGTCTTTAATGTTACCAAGACTGTAATTACAATTTAATTATCATAATATCAGTAAGAATAATAATAATATTGATATCAATATTCTTAGAAAGAAAAACACATTTCCTGTCATTTCTTGGAATGGGGAAGTCAGGATTGGTCAGTAAGGCCTGCTTGGTGGCTGAGTACATGTGGACCCATCTGTATGTAACAAAATTTACAAAAAAATACAAAGGACAGTACATAATCTGTAGATTGGGTTAATTGTTATTTTTATTAACCCATTCCCGACGGGCATGGCATGTACGTACATACCATGCCCACTGTGAGTTTACTTGTTTAATTGTTTTTAAACGTAGATGGCTACACTTGTACTAAATCACCAATGAGCCAATTACGAGTACTGCCTGTCTCGCCCGTTTACCATTTTCTTTAATATACGAAAATATTTTACATTATCTTATTTTGCTAAAACTAATGTTTATAACATTATAGTAATTATAATGTTTATAATAGAAATAACACCATTGATATTCATACCACTAGGGAAAAATACATCTTCCCGCCAATTCAAGGAAAGGGGAAATCATGTAAGGCAGAGCCATCTATGTGTAGAGACATTTCACAAAAAATATAAAAAATGAGCACAGCATTTTCCCCATTCTTTATTCATTTTCCCCAGTGGCAATGGGTTAATACTAATGGTAATAGTAATTTAATTAATGTTGTTATTATTGTTGTAGTTATTATTGTCATTGTCATGAATATAGATAGAGTTTGTTCCTGTTTTTTCATTCTGATTTGTGTTGGAGTGATCCAGTGTCCGTGCTAGAAATGAAACAATACATTTCTTCTCAAGCTTGGGGTAACTTCTTGTGTGTATTAATAGCTACAAAATAACACTGCAGCAGACTGTGAGTTCTCCGGTTTCCAGTTATATCAGTCAGGTAGATGCTGGATTGGGTCTGGGTGTCGTGATGACCTCCCTGCTGGAGTAGTCATGGAGTGGGTGTTGGTCCAGGGAGACTTCTGTTGGTCTTAATGAAGTCTGTTTCTCCCTGTGGGGATGTTGGGCTGTCCTTGCCATCTGTAGGCATTGTGAATCCTGATTGCTTTTTTTTTTTTAATTTGTAAGAAATGGTTGATTTTTCCAGATTCCAGTGAGTAGGCAGTGTTTTGCAGTCTCTGAATTTTTCCGTCATACATTATAACATTTTACTAATGTAAAAGAAAATTATGATGGATGCATATTCTTACTTCCCAGTTTTATGACATGATTCATGCAGTATGAGAAAAGGGTTGACTTAGCTATATTAACACTAATGATCCTAGGTAATTCAGATCCTTTTTGTATGTGAATTGTTCTAATGAAATGAAAAAAGAATAAAAAGAAAAAGGAAAAGAAACTCTTAGGGGTTGTCCAGGGTTTTGCTACTTTTGTGTTGATGTTTTAATGATTTTAGATATTTTTTTAGCCGTGGAGCAACTTGAAAAGTATTTTCTGAACCTGATTTTGTTGTTTGTAACTGAAGCAATTTGTTGATATGTAATAAAAGGCTAAATGCATATGATTGTTCCAAAACACTAGTTCATTAACAGGACATTTCCCAAAAGAAAGAAACAGTAACATTATACATAGGCAGTGCTGCAGATAATAGGTACTTGAGATGTGTATACAGATATTTTACAATTATGATTATTTCTTTTTTACTTATGAGGATAAAACAAATAATTTGATAAAACTGAACACTGGGGGTATTATTATCTCCTGTTCTGAAGTCCCTAACAGATCGCGCACATGCGTCATTTGAGGTCATAGATGTCATCACCACTGCAACCCATTTTCATGTCACCTTAACAGTCTCAAGGAGGGCTTAGGAGAAGGAATGTGTTGTTTTATCCATTTGTGTTGAATTCAGAGTGTTGTGTGACTTGTTTCTGTGAATGTATGATTAGGAGGAGTTACACTTGTGATGTGTATGAGTGTTGTCTAAACTTGTTGACAGTTGAAAGTAATAACTAAGAAAAGGAAAACAGCCACAGTAAGAAATGAATATATATCGTAACATTTTCAACTCTTCAAGAGTTCCTCTTCAGATGAATAATAAACTGAAATGGATTCAAGAAGAGAATTTTGACAAGAATATATAGTGTTTGAGAGACAGAACGAACAAGAGCTGAATCTGGTCTCAGGAGGGTCAAAGTTGAAGAGTCTGGGGAAGGCTTTGCTAACTAAAGAGGAGGTAAGGTCATCCAAGCCCCATTGACCAGCAGTCAAGTTAAAATTAGACATTTTTCTAATTAATAGAGATTTTAACATTTTTTATTTCATCCGAATTAGCTGATTCATGAATTAATTTAGCGTTTTTTCAACATCACGTTTATGTTCATTAATTCATTTCTCAAAAACTCTACCAGTCTTGCTTATGTAAAACTTGGGACAATCCTTACAGGGTGTTGTGTAAATACCGGGAGAATTCTCAAGTGCACTGTTAGCCGCATTGTGCTTAACCAAAGTATTATATAATGTGTTCAGATATGTACAAACAATGTCAATTCCAGTGACTTTAAACATGTATCGTTTTTCATCGGGGGACGGGTTATACGGATATTAATAGATGAATGTGCCAGATTTAAGAAAAATCAAGGATATCCTAATTTTGAAAATGTTTCAAATATGACGTCGAGTTCCCGATCGATAAACTCAGTATCACAAATCCTATATACCCTGAGAAACATTGACATGACTACTGACTTCTCAACATACAACGGATGATTCGAGAAAAGGTGAAGGTAATTAGCAGTGTGAGTAGGTTTACAGTAAACCTCAAATTTATGTGAACCATTTACATTGCATAGAAGGACATTGAGAAAAGTTAATTTACCCGAGTCTTCCCATTCTACTTTAACCTAATGGTGAGGGGTGAAGAAAACAAAACAAAAAAAAATCTCTACGCTCTGGCAAACAATGGCGGCGCACTGACTTTGAGTGTGTGAGTTCGGTACATCAGTGCTTTGGCGCGCTGCCGCGGCATACAGCCGCACGCCACTTTTCGAGCGGTTTGTTTTCACGCCTATCAGCGTCACCTGTCGGGAAGGGGTTAAAATAGATACTATGCTCGAAGTTGTTGAGTTTTCTAGAAAAAATCATGGTCCAAGGAAATCTAGTACATTGCAAAGTCAGACATTACTTAACAAGGAATCTAAATCAAAACTCATTAATTTCTTACCGTGCGTTGGGAAGTTTCTAACCTTATCCATGAAATCCGTTGAATGTTTGATATGACTCTTAGAAAATGATGCCATAAAAGGAGATAAAATGCTCGCTATATATAATATATATATATATATATATATATATATATATATATATATATATATATATATATATATATATATATATATATATATACACATATATATATTCATATATTTTTTTATATAATTTTTAAATATATTTATATATTTTTTTATATATATTTATATATATTTTTATATGTATTTATATATATTTTTATATATATTTTTATATATATTTTTATATATATTTATATATATATTTATATATATTTATATATATTCATATATATGTTTATATATATATTTATATATGTATGCGTATATATGTATGTATGTATACAGAACATATACATACATACTTACATGTATTACTATATACACATGGTAATTGTGAAGCCTTCTTAACAATGTAAATATGATCTTGCTAAAGTTGGAAATTAAAGGTTATCTGTAATTATATATGCAAATTTTCTCATTTTCTGTGTATTCTTGATGAAACCATGAGAGCAGTATTAATCAATATAAAAGTGCCACAGTTAGCTCCAGAATGCTTAGAAAAGACCTTTGTGTGATATAATTCCCCCACCCCCCAATTTATTGTCTCTTACCTTTGGTGCCTAGCACTGTCTTGCTACATTTTCCCCCATCCCCCATTTAATTATGAAGCATCTAAGGTTTGCCATTACCTTTGTGGATGTCTTTCTGTATGTGTGCAAAAGTGTGTGTATGTGCGTGCGCGTCGTGTGTGTGTGTGTGTGTGTGTGTGTGTGTGTGTGTGTGTGTGTGTGTGTGTGTGTGTGTGTGTGTGTGTGTGTGTGTGTGTGTGTGTGTCTTTGTGTCTTTGTGTGTGTGTTGCGTGCTTTTATGTTTGTGTGTGTAGAGGCATGCACTTGCAGGCTTGTATTCTTATTGGTGTGATTTTATACATAATTGTATGCATGTATGACTTGCACGTAAATGTACATTATATTAATTCTTTAGAGTAGGTTTCAGTAAATTCAAAAGCACTGAATAGGATGTTCCACAGATTGTATAGGATTTTCCACAGAATGCCATAAGATGATCATAAATATGAATTAGCTTTTTATAGTGGATGGGTCATATCTCACTTACCAAGATTTACATGATGAATAAAAACTACCAGAGACAGTATGAATGTGGTTTTGTAGAGACACTTAGAATAGGTGTTCATCTCTTAGAGTTTTCAGATAGATATTAATTCTTACATAAGTCAACTAGATGTATTTATTCAGATTTCATAATTTAATTTATGTTGGGTATATGCAGTGTCCACTTCTTGTCAAATTTTGTTTATGTGCAGGTAGCTTCATAAGTATTTAGTCACCAAGGAGTTTGTTGCTGGCCTCACTGTTTACCTCTTTTATTGAATTTTAAGAGTAAAAAGTCTTTATTTCTGATATTGTTTTTAATATTATTTTTTTTATAGTTGACATTATCATTATCATCTTATTAACCCCTTTGATCTGGATGACATAACCATGAAAAAATTTAGTATAAGGGTGCAGGTAACATCATGGGAAAATCTGGCTGTGGGCAGAGTGACATGCGCAAATCTGTTGGAGGGTGATTAGACTCATTTGGGATTTAGAAAGGGGATTTTACATTATTTCCATTGATAACAAGTATGGAATGTAGTGTTTGTGAGCCATAACCTAAATAGTGCTAGCTCTAGGGAGGGTCTCATTACAATACTCAGCATTCTGTTCCTAGCCGCTGTGACTGATGGTGCATTTTATGCTACAGAAAACTGAATATTACAAAAAAAGAAAGAAAGAAAAAAAAAAGACAAATAACAAACTGTTACTTATTCTTATTATTCTTATAGACTGCCTAGGGAGATGATATAGAGTCAGTGCAAGGAAAACAGTCTATTACCATCTGGATAAAATAATTCAAGTGACAGACATGGACATTGGAAAATAGCAAAAAAGCTAGAAATACATATGCATAAAAAAGTGAAAATAACATTCTACTTGGAAGGCCTAGAGTCTTGTCACTGTACGAGTGTTTGTGTGCGCCCGGCCTACAAGCCATGCACCAGGCAGAGTGGCTGCTCACGTAAGCTTAATCCCTGTATTTTGGGCCATGTGATTACCGTGAAGCACCTGGATCCAAGGGGTTAACGATACTATTTTTTTTTTCCCTAAATCTCAAGAAATAGGCTCAGCATGTAAAGTCAGGTAGGCCTAGTAATTGAAGCCTTTGGGACTAAGCACTTCTGGAGCCATCTCTGTTTCAACAAACATAATCAACTAAGATCACAGTGGATAGGGCATCTATATGAGTACATACTCTCCTGACATCAACAGTTACACTTGTGGCAATTTTGGTTAGCTACTGTAGGTTTAGTGATTGAAGATATATGAAAGTATATATATTTTAAAATCAGAATTCTCTTTAGACTCAGATTCTCTTTACCCTAAAAAATCCCCCACCCCTCCTCTTTCACTCCAGTTAGACTTCCATCCCTTGACCAGTGTCATGCCAAATCTGTTAATGAGGACTTTCTACCTCCTAGGATTAAGAACGTGTCTCTGGCTGGCTGTGGCTTCCTAGCGTTATACCTGATAGGTGCAATCAAATGCTTGTTGACTGTCTGTCCCCATGTCCTGAAGGAGACTGTTATTTCGGGAGCATCTGCAGGAGCCCTGATTGGCTCAGCACTGATCTGTCAGGTACCTATTGATGATGTGAGATACCAGTTCCTGAATGCGGCTGTTGAGTCCAGAAAGTGGGCGATGGGGCCTTTCAGTCCAGGGTTCAAGTTTGAGGATTACCTTAGGGCAGGCATCGAGCTGTTACCTCCTGATGCCCACCTGAGGGCCAATGGGCGGCTTTTTGTGTCACTTACAAGAGTCCGGGACATGTCTAATGTGATTGTATCTGAGTGGGACTCACGTGAAGACCTGGTTCAAACACTAAGATGTGCTTGCTACATCTTGGGGGCATCAGGGATGGTTCCACCCACCCTACGTGGAGAATGGTTCATCGATGGGGGATACAGCAACAGGCAGCCTGTGGTCAGCAAAGAGGCTCTCACCATCAGTCCATATGCAGGTGATGCAGACATATGTCCAGATGAAGAGCCGACTCGCAGGAAGGTCAGCTGGGCCAACCACACTGTCAATATGTCCTATAGCAACACACTGCGCTTGTACCAGTCCCTGATGCCTCCTGCACCTCACGTCCTCAACCAGTACCATACTCAGGGTTACAGAGATACATGGCGGTACTTGCAAAGAATGAAATCGAAGCTGAGAAGTAACTGAGCAAGACTATGTATAATGCACCCTTCTAAAAAATGTTAGGTGGCTAGTCAGGAGGATGTGATACCAATAAGTATTTGTATTGTGAAGTAGGATATTGTAAATATGTAGACAGTCAACCCTTCATATATTTTATTTATCATTATTGTTATTGTTCTTGAAACTTGAAAACAATATACTGCATATGAACATGTTAGTATTTTGTTTTTTTTTCTTTAATACTCTTCTTTTGCCATTATATATTTATATGCTTAAATATATTATATATCTAATCAAAGGCCTATGTATCTTTATAATTTTTTTTGAATTACTGTGATATTGGCATCATTACATCTTGTATAGCTGTATTCTGTTTGCGATGTATTCTAGGGAAGTATGCGTGGCCCTGTCTGGATCTGGCTTCCTGGCATTATATGAGGTTGGTGCCTTGGAGTGCCTACAGAAGCAATGGCCTCGCTTGCTGCAGACAGCAAAGGTTTCTGGAGCATCAGCTGGCTCCCTTTTGGCAGCTTGTGTAGTGTGTGATGTCCCTCTTAGCTTTGTGAAGGCCAATTTCTTGGAGACGGCCAAGGAAGCCCAGAGGTGGAAACTGGGTCCCTTCAGTCCTAAGTTCAAGGTCTCTGATTATCTCAACCAGGGATTTGAAGCCCTTCCCCCTGACGCCCACCTGCGGGCCAACAACAGACTCTTTGTCTCACTCACAAGAATTAAAGATGGCCAGAATGTCATCATCTCAAACTGGACTTCACGAGAGGACTTGATCCAGTGCCTCCTCTGCTCTTGTTTTATCCCTGTCTTCTCTGGCTATCGTTTCCCTTCATTTCGCGGAGAGAGGTACATGGATGGTGGCTTCACTAACAACCTCCCCATACCAGGCCAGCCATGCATATCCATCGGCCCATTTGAGGGGAAGATTGACATCTGCCCCAGGAGCAAGGTGCAAAACTCCCCATACCTGACCATTGCTAATGAGACAGTGGCCATAAACCCCACTAACATCCTGAGGTTTGTACAGTCCCTAAAGCCTCCCGCCGTCGAGATCTTAGAAGAAGTCTATCAGGAAGGCTACTGGGATGCTTACTCCTTTCTAAAAGCAAAAACAAGTCAGAAGACAGGCCCTTTGTCTGCATGAACTTAAATGCTCGTGTTCAGTGTGAAAGAGATGAATGTTTATATTTCATGCCTGAGGGCAGTAAGGGAATGGGTGTTGGTGTCCACTTTGTATTTTAATTTGTATGGACCGTTTGATTTATAACCTCGACAGTCTTCTAAGGATTGATTTTTAAGTATTTTACTTATTTACTATAAAATATAAGCATTATATTGTATTATCTATGTTAAGGAAATTTTATTATTAAGATCTGAAAATAACTAAGACTTTATAGTATTGTTATACACACCTGTGCACATTGCATTCAAAAGAAACACACACGCACACGCACACGCACACCCACACCCACACCCACACCCACACCCACACCCACACCCACACCCACACCCACACCCACACACACACCCACACACACACACACACACACACACACACACACACACACACACACACACACACACACACACACACACACACACACACAAATATACAACTGTACTTTACTTTGTAAGAATTCCCTTGGTAATGTGCCATTTTTAGAATGATATGAAATTATGTTATTGTTGATATTTATACTGTTTTTGAGATGAAATATACTTTTAAGGTCAAAATTAGCTTTCATATCCAGCTGTATTAAAAAAAATGCAGTACTTGCAAGTTATTGTTGTTTATGAATATCTCTATAATGATCTTTCATTTACATTTTCTGACCACCTTTTATTTGTTTATATAAAAAAATACAGTTCTCTTTCATGTTTTTCTTTATATTCATTACTGATTACATTCATTATAGTATTTATTAGAGTAGATTATTTTCTATGGTATTTTGAAGTGAAGTTAATGTTGAGTTATATTTTTTTTTGGTGAAATTAAAAATGCTTTAGATATATAGTTTAAGTGGAATGGGAAAATGTGCACATAATGGCTGACTTTCTATGCACAAACGCTAGTTGGCAAATACTAATATACTGATTGAACTTAGAGAGAGGAGACTAACTAATGACTAAAACTTTAACAATAAGGAAGACCGTCCAAAGTGAAATGATTTAAAATATTAACCTCTTTATTATTCTGTTATTGTTATTATTTTACTATTATTGTTCTTTTTAAAAGTCAGTTCTACTAGTATTATTTTTTCAAGATTCTTTCTTTCATTTTTCTCAGTAATGAAAGAGAGAGGGAATGAGAAAGTGTTGTGGTGATTATTATTATGACTGTTATTATTGCTTTTATTATTATTATTATTATTATTATTATTATTATTATTATTATTGTTGTTATTATTATTATTATTATTATTATTATTATTATTATTATTATTTTATTTATTATGATTTTTAATATATTTGATAATAATGATTATTATTATTTGATTTGCTATGAATCTTTATTATTATTATTATTATTATTACTATTATTATTATTATTATTATAAAAAAGATTATGATGATTGTTGGGATTACTTTTGTTTCACTTCTTTTCTGGAAATACTATAGGCATGAAACGTTATGGGCATTAACTAGTTTCCCACAAATTTTCTCCTCCACTTTTGAGGTCAGTGCATCCATTTTAAAGTGAGCATTGGGTACACTTCTAAAAGGTCATCCATTTTTTCTTTTTTCATAATTTTTATAGCACACAAACCATACACTGGGGGGGTTGGGTTAAACTCTGGTTGTACGCTTTTTTTGTAAAAGTGATGTTCCTGATTAAATTGGAGATCCTGTGGCAGTTATCAGTTTTATCTTTTTGCTCTGTACACACTGGAGGGGGGTGGGGGTCTTGGGTAAATGAGTACCATTTGTGAGCTCGTGAAAATGAAAAAAAAAATAGATGACCTTCTAAAAGCTTCAGTATGAAAAGGCATGATAAGTCCCATAACTTAAGAAAAAAAAAAAGAGTATATAAAACTATATAAAAATATAAAGGGCATGATATATCAGATATATAAGAAGGCTACATGCAAAGAAGAGGCTGATAATACTCTTAGCACACGCTTCTAGCTCCTTCCTCCCCCCCTCTAAAAAAGATAAAGATCACTTTGCTTTTATCACTCTGCCGCCCCCTCACAGCAAATGGCTGAAGCAACACAGCACACACTATATCATAGCATAGCATACTTCAAGCAGTAGATGAACTAGCAATAAGGAAACACTAGCACCTATTCAGATTGAGCCCTTCAAGATTCGGTAAAGAGCTTTAAGGTGGAATCCCCTCATCACTCGACATTGCGAGCCCACACCAGGCGGCCCAAAGGTTAAGCCAAAACCTGTCTTCGCGAAAGTGCCACATCCCATTAGGGTAGGTATAGTGAAAGGTGATGCCTTTTAATTTTTATATGTGGTGGTTGGGGGAGTGTAGGGTATAGAACCAGGGTGTTGAGAAATTGCTTTTACTATTATTATTTGCACTGTTAGAGTGTTTTTTTTTTATTATTATTGTTGTTGTTGTTATTGTTATTATTGTTGTTATTGTTATTATCATTATTGTTATTATTATTTTACTATAATTATTATTGTTATTATTATTACTTATTATTATTGTTATTAACTGATGTTGATATTAGTAACGATAATAGTAATTATGATAGTAATGATAATAATGATAATAATGATAATAATGATAATGGATGTAATAGTAATAATAGTTGAAATAGTAGTAACAATGATAATGATAATTATTTCTGTTACTCTATTACTATGACTGATTATGAGTATGACATTTATTATTATTACTATTATTATTATTACTATTATTATTATTATTATCATTATTATCATTATTATTATTATTATTATTGTTATTATTATTATTATTATTATTTTTTTTTTAGATTATCATCATTATTATTACTATTTTCATTACTATCATTATCTTAATTATTATTAGTAGTATTGTCTTCATCTTAACCCATTCACGCCAGGCGTCACGTATACGTGACGGGCTCACTGTGAGTTTACTTGTTTAATTGTTTTCACACATAGATGGTTACACTTGTACTTGTACTGCATGTCTCGCCTGTTTACCCTTTTCTTTAATTTACGAAATTATTTTGCGTTATCTTATTTTGCTGTTACTAATGTTTATAACATTATAGTAATTATAATGTTTATAATAAAAATAACCATCGATATTCGTAACACTAGTAAAATACATTTTCCCGCCAATTCAAGTAAAGGTAAAATCAGTTAAGGCAGTAAGCCATCTAGTGTAGAGAAATTTCATAAAAAATGAGCACAGCATTTTCCCTATTTTTTGTTCATTTTTACCCGGCGCGAATGGGTTAATATGTCACTGACATGGGAAGTGATATGAGATAAAGTATTATCATTTTAATAATTACTCTTTTAATTACCACTGGTTTCATCACTAGTATCAGTGTATAACCATACCCATCTTTGGTGTACCTTTTCTTCACCGAAGAAGAAGGAGAAGGAGAAGAAGAAGGAGAAGAAGGAGAAGAAGGAGAAGAAGGAGAAGAAGGAGAAGAAGGAGAAGAAGGAGAAGAAGAAGGAGAAGAAGAAGGAGAAGAAGAAGGAGAAGAAGAAGGAGAAGAAGAAGAAGAAGAAGAAGAAGAAGAAGAAGAAGAAGAAGAAGAAGAAGAAGAAGAAGAAGAAGAAGAAGAAGAAGAAGAAGAAGAATGCACCTAACCATTTTAATAAAAACTGAAATTTGACTTACCACCATATAATTGGTTGGATAATGGCATGTCTGGATTTGAGTAAATACGTTAAGAGAAGCCAGAGATGCTCCAGTTTTTCTTATTGATATTGACTGTTAGGAAGAATTTGACTTAGAATATAATTGAAACATTGGTATTAACCCAGTGGGCGTGCCATGCCATGCCCACTGTGAGATTACTTGTTTGATTGTTTTCATACATAGATGGCTACACTTGTACTAAATCGCTAATGAGCCAGTTACGAGTACCGCCTGTCTCACCCGTTCACCCTTTTCTTTGATTTACGAAATATTTTATGTTATCTTATTTTGCTGTTACTAATGTTAATAAACATTATAAAAATTATAATGTTTATAATAAAAATAACACCATCGATATTCATGGCACTAGTGAAAAATACGTTTTTCCTGCCATTTCAAATCAGGCACTAACAGCCATCTATGGACAAACATTTCACAAAAAAAATATAGAAAATAGGCACAGCATTTTCCCCTTTTTTTGTGCATTTTCCCTGGTGGCAGTGGGTTAAAGATGGGAGCAGATTCCCCAGTTAGTCTCGGAGCTATTGAGATTTTTGTGAAGATTTGACAGTGAATATTATTGAAAGGTGGGTATTGAAGCTACAATGCTGAATATTATTGAAACGTGGGTATTGAAGCCAAAGTGATGAACATTATTGAAACATGGGTATTGAAGCCAAAGTGATGAACATTATTGAAACATGGGGATTGAAGCCAAAGTGCTGAATATTATTGAAACGGGGGTATTGAACATTACTGAAACAGTATTGAATCTACAATATAACACCCAGATTCTTTTTAATTTCTGTTGTCATTGCATATAAACTCATGGTGAAGAGAGACACAAACAAGGGGACATTGGAGATACCAGGACATTGCTTCAGGAATGAGGAATTGGGCTATAAGTAATTATATGCGTAACGAGGTGTTTAGGAGAGGAGAGGAGGTGGAAGGTAGGTGCCTGTAGGGTTAAAGCTGCCATCATGATTTTTTATTTTATTTTAGATAGGAGGCTTGAAATGGGGTTAATATTAGGTAGGGTCTGTTGATAGTTTTTATTGTTTGTTGTTTTTGGTATTATTATCATTATTATTGTTATTATTATTATTATTATTATTATTATTATTTTTAATATTCTCATTTTTGATCATTATCATAATTATAATTATCATCATTATTTTTATATCATCTTTATTATTATTATTGTTGTTGTTATAATTATTGTTATTTCTATAGTTATTATTATTATTATTATTATTATTATTATTATTATTATTATTATTAGTTTCATTATCATCATTATTAATATTAATATTAATATTGTTATTGTTGTTATTGTAGTAATTTTGGTATTACTACTTTACTATTACTATTATTATTACCATTTCTATTATTATTATTATTATCTTCATCTTCACTGCTGCTGTTATTATTATTATTATTATTATTATTAGTAGTAGTAGTAGTAGCAGTAGTAGTAGTAGCAGTAGTAGTACAACTACTTCTTCTTCTTCTTCTTCTTCTTCTTCTTCTTCTACTACTACTACTACTACTACTACTACTACTACTACTACTACTACTACTACTACTACTACTATTACCACTACTACCAATACTGCTGCTACTGCTGCTATTGATTTTAGTGACTGTTATTATAATTGTTATTATAATAATAATGATAATAATAATAATAATAATAATAATAATAATAATAATAATTATTATTAATATAATATATTTGATGATAATGATAATGGTGATAATGATAATTATTGTTATTAATAAAAATTTGATTACCAGTGTTACTGTTTACATAATGATATCAATCATCATCATCAATATTGTTATTGTTATTGTTGTTATTATTATTATTATTATTATTGTTATTATTATTATTGTTATTATTATTATTATTATTATTATTATTATTATTATCTTTCATTACCATTATCATTATTATTACTGTTATTATTATTGTTATGAATATTTTATTATCATTATTATTATTAGTTTTTGTTATTCTCATTATTGTCAACATTATTATCTGCCTCACCATTATTAGCACTATCTTTTCTCCCTTTGCAGGTCTCGTCTAGGCTGCCAGGTGTGCCTAACGAAGGCCCTGAATGGCATTACGGTCGTCGTACCTGAAGGCACTACAGACGTACGGAATGTATAGGACTCGAGGGCTAGTGTTGTCATAAATTGAAGTGCTTTTGATAGAATATATATACTTTTGAGAACAATTTTTTTTTTTTTTTTTTTTTTTTCATTAGTGTTATTCTTGTATGTAGTTGTCCAGATTCTTGTAATAGGTTTTAATGTTAGTGATTCATGTCTGTCTATATGATATAGTACAAGAGATTTCAGTCATAAAAACACTATTTTTGCTAAGCTGTGACTGAAACATTTTACATATGGGTGCTCAATTTTATTTGTTAATTGTTTGATACAGTCAAATGATGTAAAGAATCCCCGTACAACTTCTTAATGCATAAGTGTCCCTGTAATTATCATATTTAAAAAGAAATAAAAATGTTATGAATTTCAATAAAGGTTCACAAAATAAAAGACTGATGCTATACCAGGTTTTACAATTGTATGATGATTGTTGTAAAAGATGTCCTTATAAATATATGTCTGCCCGTTTTTTATGTGCTGCTTGACCCATTTTATTTGTTTGAATCCTCTTTTTGTTGCTTATGTTATTTGCAACTTTCATCTGAAATTCATCCTTTGAAATTTTGTTAAGATTTTATTACCTATGTTCACAATGTTTATGTAGTTGGTCCTTTAAAATGCCATTTTTTTTTGCATATTTTTTTCACTAAGTCATTTCTGAATGTACTCTATGCAAACATTGTTTAATAGACATTTCCTTTTTGTTATTATATGTCTCTACTTCTCTTTCCATCATTCAAATTCTTTCCGGGAAATGAATCATGTTTGTATAATTTTTTTAAAAGGTTGTTCAAACTTAACATGACCATGACAAATAATGTGAACTGTTGTGACTACTATTGTAAGAACATTTTAAAACCAGAAATGATGAATGACAGTGATAAACTCCACAAAGGAAATGATGTAGTTAATGTTGTTTAATTAAATCTTCCATCAGAATTACACATATGATTTGTGCATTTGTCTCATGAGCTCTTTTGAACCTAGATAAATGTTCATTGTCGAGGACAAGAGCAGGCAGCTAATTTTTCTAACAGGAATTTAGAATGGTCCAGTTATGTACTCTATTAAACAAATATTTATTGCAAATCGACTTTAGAGTAGCTTACTATATAAAAAAAATATCCAACAAGATCACACTTCTACAGGAAATGGGTTACTCTACAGAAAAAAAAGTTCCTGCTTCATTCAGTATCAACGACCAATAGTAAACTGTACCAATGTTGAATGGTCATGTATTAGACCTCTTCAGTAAAGAATGCCACATACTAACACGAGTTGGGAAGTAATCTAATCAAGACCATGCAGTTTCTTAGCTAAAAAGGAGTGGAGGTGGAAATTATCTGTCTTTCTTGTATTAAATTCAAAGTATATGAGTGAAAGTTGCAGTTAACTAAAGGAATACATGACTGCTACTTGTATCTGGCTTGATGTTCTTGCTGGTCTTCTTAATTCACAAAACGAAATGAAAATTTATTCTCCCTCACCCATCAAACGAAACAGTTTCCTCTGTGGAAAGCTAATCATTTGCCTTTTACTAGATTCAAGTAGGATCACCTTTTGCCTTTTAGTGGATTCAATTCTAAGTAATTTTTGCCTTTTAGTAGATTTACTTGATCACCTTTTGCCTTTTAGTAGATTCAATTCCAAGAACCTTTGGCCTTTTATTAGATTCAGTTTTGAGCACCTTTTGCGTTTTCGTAGATTCAATTCCAAGCATCTTTGGTCTTTTAGTAGATTTAATTCCGAGCACCTTTAGCCTTTTAGTAGATTCAGTTTCGAGCACCTTTCGCTTTTTAGTTGATTCAGTCGATCACCTTTTGCCTTTTAGTAGATTTACTTGATCACCTTTGGCCTTTTAGTAGATTCAGTTTCGAGCACCTTTCGCTTTTTAGTTGATTCAGTCGATCACCTTTTGCCTTTTAGTAGGTTCAGTTTTGAGCACCTTTTGCGTTTTCGTAGATTCAATTCCAAGAACCTTTGGCCTTTTAGTAGATTTACTTGATCACCTTTTGCCTTTTAGTGGATTCAATTCTAAGTAATTTTTGCCTTTTAGTAGATTTACTTGATCACCTTTTGCCTTTTAGTAGATTCAATTCCAAGCATCTTTGGTCTTTTAGTAGATTTACTTGATCACCTTTTGCCTTTTAGTGGATTCAATTCTAAGTAATTTTTGCCTTTTAGTAGATTCAGTTTCGAGCACCTTTCGCTTTTTAGTTGATTCAGTCGATCACCTTTTGCCTTTTAGTGGATTCAATTCTAAGTAATTTTTGCCTTTTAGTAGATTCAGTTTTGAGCACCTTTTGCGTTTTCGTAGATTCAATTCCAAGAACCTTTGGCCTTTTATTAGATTCAGTTTTGAGCACCTTTTGCGTTTTCGTAGATTCAATTCCAAGAACCTTTGGCCTTTTAGTAGATTCAATTCCAAGAACCTTTGGCCTTTTAGTAGATTTACTTGATCACCTTTTGCCTTTTAGTGGATTCAATTCTAAGTAATTTTTGCCTTTTAGTGGATTCAATTCTAAGTAATTTTTGCCTTTTAGTAGATTTACTTGATCACCTTTTGCCTTTTAGTGGATTCAATTCTAAGTAATTTTTGCCTTTTAGTAGATTCAATTCCAAGAACCTTTGGCCTTTTAGTAGATTCAGTTTCGAGCACCTTTCGCTTTTTAGTTGATTCAGTCGATCACCTTTTGCCTTTTAGTAGATTTACTTGATCACCTTTTGCCTTTTAGTAGATTCAATTCCAAGAACCTTTGGCCTTTTAGTAGATTTACTTGATCACCTTTTGCCTTTTAGTAGATTCAATTCCAAGAACCTTTGGCCTTTTATTAGATTCAGTTTTGAGCACCTTTTGCGTTTTCGTAGATTCAATTCCAAGAACCTTTGGCCTTTTAGTAGATTCAATTCCAAGAACCTTTGGCCTTTTAGTAGATTTACTTGATCACCTTTTGCCTTTTAGTAGATTTACTTGATCACCTTTTGCCTTTTAGTAGATTTACTTGATCACCTTTTGCCTTTTAGTAGATTCAGTTTCGAGCACCTTTCGCTTTTTAGTTGATTCAGTCGATCACCTTTTGCCTTTTAGTAGATTCAGTTTCGAGCACCTTTCGCTTTTTAGTTGATTCAGTCGATCACCTTTTGCCTTTTAGTAGATTTACTTGATCACCTTTTGCCTTTTAGTGGATTCAATTCTAAGTAATTTTTGCCTTTTAGTAGATTCAGTTTCGAGCACCTTTCGCTTTTTAGTTGATTCAGTCGATCACCTTTTGCCTTTTAGTGGATTCAATTCTAAGTAATTTTTGCCTTTTAGTAGATTTACTTGATCACCTTTTGCCTTTTAGTGGATTCAATTCTAAGTAATTTTTGCCTTTTAGTAGATTCAATTCCAAGAACCTTTGGCCTTTTAGTAGATTTACTTGATCACCTTTTGCCTTTTAGTAGATTCAATTCCAAGAACCTTTGGCCTTTTAGTAGATTTACTTGATCACCTTTTGCCTTTTAGTGGATTCAATTCTAAGTAATTTTTGCCTTTTAGTAGATTTACTTGATCACCTTTTGCCTTTTAGTAGATTTACTTGATCACCTTTTGCCTTTTAGTGGATTCAATTCTAAGTAATTTTTGCCTTTTAGTAGATTTACTTGATCACCTTTTGCCTTTTAGTAGATTCAATTCCAAGAACCTTTGGCCTTTTAGTAGATTCAATTCCAAGAACCTTTGGCCTTTTAGTAGATTCAGTTTCGAGCACCTTTCGCTTTTTAGTTGATTCAGTCGATCACCTTTTGCCTTTTAGTAGATTCAATTCCAAGAACCTTTGGCCTTTTAGTAGATTTACTTGATCACCTTTTGCCTTTTAGTAGATTCAATTCCAAGAACCTTTGGCCTTTTAGTAGATTCAATTCCAAGAACCTTTGGCCTTTTAGTAGATTTACTTGATCACCTTTTGCCTTTTAGTAGATTCAATTCCAAGAACCTTTGGCCTTTTAGTAGATTCAGTTTCGAGCACCTTTCGCTTTTTAGTTGATTCAGTCGATCACCTTTTGCCTTTTAGTAGATTTACTTGATCACCTTTTGCCTTTTAGTAGATTCAATTCCAAGAACCTTTGGCCTTTTAGTAGATTCAGTTTCGAGCACCTTTCGCTTTTTAGTTGATTCAGTCGATCACCTTTTGCCTTTTAGTAGATTTACTTGATCACCTTTTGCCTTTTAGTAGATTCAGTTTCGAGCACCTTTCGCTTTTTAGTTGATTCAGTCGATCACCTTTTGCCTTTTAGTGGATTCAATTCTAAGTAATTTTTGCCTTTTAGTGGATTCAATTCTAAGTAATTTTTGCCTTTTAGTAGATTTACTTGATCACCTTTTGCCTTTTAGTGGATTCAATTCTAAGTAATTTTTGCCTTTTAGTAGATTCAATTCCAAGAACCTTTGGCCTTTTATTAGATTCAGTTTTGAGCACCTTTTGCGTTTTCGTAGATTCAATTCCAAGAACCTTTGGCCTTTTAGTAGATTTACTTGATCACCTTTTGCCTTTTAGTAGATTTACTTGATCACCTTTTGCCTTTTAGTAGATTCAGTTTCGAGCACCTTTCGCTTTTTAGTTGATTCAGTCGATCACCTTTTGCCTTTTAGTAGATTCAGTTTTGAGCACCTTTTGCGTTTTCGTAGATTCAATTCCAAGAACCTTTGGCCTTTTAGTAGATTTACTTGATCACCTTTTGCCTTTTAGTGGATTCAATTCTAAGTAATTGTTGTTTCCCCGAGTTTCACTCTTTGAGCTTCGAACGCTTCGAATCAGTGGGTGGCGAATAAGCCAGGTGAGTTTTTATCGCTCTTTATTCCACGTGGTAGATGGAGACCTATTTTTTTCATTTGTTTACATTTACTTTTACCTAATGGCTTGATTTTTTTTCATAACGAACCTCTCTCCTTACGTTACAATCCTCGTTTTACATTATTTAAGTTTTTTTTTTAATGTTCTTTTAAAATGACTTAATCTTTAATTTTGTTATCATTTCTTTCATTATTATTAGATTTGTGTTATAACTTTGAGTATTTATCGTTTTTATATTTACGACCTGCCACGTCACTTTAATTATCGATTCTATTAATTAACGGAGGCTCACAGAGGACACTTAGGATATCGTTTGTATTGTTAGATGATTTTACTTTGTTCTGGGTTTTGGGGGTTAAGAATCCATCCTAGTTTAAAAAAACAAAAAACAAAAAAAATGCCACTGGATTACCCTGGTCTAAAGCATTGGTTCCCAAACTAGGCTGGCAACCAGGTGGATTCCTACCCCCCCCCCCCTTATTTAAGTCTTTATTTGCAACGTCCTTATCTGCAATTTCTCGTAGTCAGTTGAAAGTTCTTGCTGCCGAATTTCAAGTGATTTCAAGTTTAAGCTAACCAGGCCTGCCAAGATGCCTATTCAGCTCGTCATAGCATGCACTACCCGTCGAAGATTAGATAACACGCCAAAGGCTTATTGTATTTAATTTTGTAACTTCATTTGGCCATTTAAGGAGTATTTAAGATACATTTTATATTGAAACGCATGTGAAAATGGTGTAAGAGTATACATTTATTTTTAGGCTCAAAAGAGTCTTGATGTCGAAGGGAGCATTGATAAACAGAGCATAAATAGCCGTTTAAATTCCTTGACTTGTATTTATCTTTAAACTCGAAAGAGGCTGTTTATGTATATTTTTAATGAGAATCAAGAAATGACATGAATAAATATTCTACAGTCACAGCCAGACTAATACTTTCGAATTTGTATACATTTTGATAAGAAGCAAGTGTGTTTTCGAATGAAGCTCCACAAACACTAAAATATTACCATTTGTTGTTTCTCTATAGTTGATTTGGATATGTGATACATCATAATGATAAAAAGTGATGATGATGAAGGTGATAATTATAATGATAATAATTATAATAATAGTTATGATAATAATAATGTTAATAATACAACTACTAATAGCAACACTAACAATCATTATTATCATTATCATTGTTATATTTATTATGACTAATATTGTTATTATTATAACTACAATAATAAAAATAAGTATAAGTTTGAATAGTTTTTTCTTCTAGAACCACCTAGGGGTGTCATTTCAGCTTTTTCTTGAGGGAGGCAAGGTTGGCTTGCGAAGTGAAAAACGAGCTATTTCAAGGAGCATTTTTGAGCTACGACTAGAGCTCCTGGAACCACTTTGCATCTTCGTACTCATTAGGTATCAAGATTCTTATCGATACGTACTAACGAAATATAGCAGGAATGGTCGACGTAATTGATGAATAATATTTGATTATAAGCATTATCATCACTCATTGTCATAACTTTTGTCATTATTATTACTACAATTTATAATAGTCAACATCACCGCTGGGAATAATAACTAACGATAATGATATAGCGTGGTATTAACGCGGTATTAGGTGCAAGCCATTCAAAAGTCAGTTACTATGGTAGACACTTCGATGCTCCGCCCACACGACTTCAAATAGTTGCAAGTATTTGCCGCTGAAGATAAAGCCTTAATAAACCAATTTATATAGCAGTTTTAGCAGTGTCAGTAATATAGAATGGTAGACCAAAATCTCACCAGTAACTAGAGCAACATGGTCTTCACAGTTATTGTTAATTCTCAACATGAGGGTGTAACTCACAAAGAAGTAAAAAAACTAAAAGTTATATATTAACTGCTCCTAACGCCCCCTTTTCCACTGCTCCAATTGTCTAAAAAAATACACTGATACTGAAAGATTGTGGCAGGACTCTTTCCACTGATTAATTGTCAGTGAAGGACGTCCTGTCTTTGTCCATGGAGCTTTCATCATGAGAATAAAAATGATTCTAAAACATAACGTGTCTTTGCACTGGAAAAAAATCTCTGCTGCCGCACATTTTCTGGTCTTGGTTTCGGCAGAGTGATACAAAGGCAATAAATGTTTTTAGGGCACTCTATATGTATCTAGGTAAAAATGTTGTTTTGCAAAGATGTTATGGTAGATCTATTGATTTAAAACGTTTCCTGTGGAAGATACATTTTTCAAGCTTAAAGCTTAATAGAGCCATTCGTGCGGATTAGCATCACTTCGAAGGATTTAACGGTCGTTTTAAGCAGCGAAGGTGATGTTCTTGGTCCGGAGCAAGAATTCTGACTACCCGAACCCCTGCTTAAAACAATACAATATGGATTCAGCCAGTGGTGCAGTGATCATCTCGACGCCGATAGGGTTCCTAGTAATGTCTATTACGGTATCACATTGCTGGATGAAAACTACTCCCGGAACAGTGGATATTGATGTCGGTAAATGAAACTGATCGTAGTTTAACTTATATCAGGAGTGTTTATGTTTGGCGGCAGAATATTTAAAAGTAAATATTTCTCAAAAGTAGTAGAGTACATTGTTGTTACTATAGTTATAGTTATTCACATATATAATACACACAGTGTATTAATATGTATTTACTTAATGGATACATACCAAAATAGATAATGATAGAGAAAACTACAAAGAGTACAGTAAGGAGGCAAAAAGAGCTGTTGTAATCGTGGAAGCAAAAGCAAAAGAAGAGATGGAGAACCGATCAACCAAGAGGTAGCAGAAGTGACGAGACAGGAGGTGATCACAGCACTGAAGAAGATGAAGAATGGTAAATCGACAGGGCCAGATGGCATACCGGTTGAAGTTTGGAAGGCGCTAGATGGAGATGGAGTTGACATATTGCATCAACTCATGAAAGAAATAATGGAAAAGGAAGTCATACCAGAGAAGTGGAGAGAGAGTGTCTTAATACCGATCTTTAAAGAGAAAGGAGATATACAAAGTTGTGAAAACTATCGGGGTATTAAGTTGATGTCCCACACCTTGAAGCTGCTGGAGAGGATCCTAGATAGCAGACTAAGACAGGTAGTCCACATCGGAAGGCAACAACTTGGATTTATGAAGGGAGTTGGAACGGTTGACGGCATCTCGCTCAGGCAAACTATGGAGAAACATCATGAAAAGCAAAATGTGCTGCATTTGGCTTTCATTGACTTAAAGAAAGCATATGGCAGGGTACCACGCCAAGAAGTATGGAGAGGATTGAGGGAAAGAGGAGTGCAAGAGAAGTATGTAAGAATAGTACAAGAATGCTAATGGATTTAACATCCAAAACTGAATACTTCACGACGGATACGAGTGGCAACCAGCAAGCTACAATTAAGTTGAATAGCACAGATTTGAAGAGAGTAAAAAATACCTGGGATCAGTGGTAGATGAGACAGTAGGAATGGGGAGGGAAGTGAACTTTAGAATCCATTGTGGTTGGAACAATTGGAGGAAAGTCTCTGGCGGGATATGTGACAAGAGAGTACCAGTGAGACTGAAAGGTAAAGTTCACAAGGCAGTAGTCAGACCTGCCTTGATCTACGGCCTGGAAGCAGCACCTCTGAAGAAGTCTGAAGAGAAGAAGATGAATGCGGCAGAAATGAAAATGTTGAGATGGATGGTAGGAGTGACAAGAAGAGATAGAATCAGAAATGAATACATCAGAGGGACAGTTAATGTAGTTGAGGTGTCAAAGAAGATTCAAGAGTCAAGACTGAGATGGTTTGGACATTTGAGAAGAAGAGTTGGCGAAGATCATGTTGGAAGTGAAGTCATGGAGTTGGTAATACAAGGAAACAGAAGAAGAGGGAGACCTAAAACTAGATGGATAGATTGCATAAACGGATATCTAAGGGAGAAAAATATAGATAGAGAGATGGTAAACAACAGGAATACATGGAGAAAACTCATTCAAAACGGCGATCCCGTATAGGAAATAAGCTGGGAAGAAGAAGAAGACTTAATGGATACATTCACGTGTTTGTGTCTATATACAGCACACACACACACACACACACACACACACACACACACACACACACACACACACACACACACACACACACACACACACACACACACACATATATATATATATATAATATATATATATATATATATATATATATATATATATATATATATATATATATATATATGTATGTATATGTATATATATATATATATTATATATACACACATATATATATGTATATATGAACATTTATATATATATATATATATATATATATATATATATATATATATATATATATATATATATATATATGTATGTATATGTATATATATATATATTATATATACACAAATATATATATATATATATATGAACATTTATATATATATATATATATATATATATATATATATATATATATATATATATATATTTACGTGTGTATGTGTGTGTGTGTGTCATATAGCCAACTATATAACCATTTATCCTTATACATTATTTAACCCTAACCATCCATGTAATTCATGAAAAGATACTTAATTATCCTAGAAAATGTGTGTGTTCGCATGTGTGTTTGACGGCGCTAGGAATCTATCGGAAGCCAAGAAGGCGCCAGTCTAGAAAAGTTTGGGAACCTTTGTTCTGCATCATAAATTTGTGAAATCGGTCAAATTATATATATATATATATATATATATATATATATATATATATATATATATATATATATATATATATATGTGTATATATATATTTACATATATGTATATGTATATATATGTACACACACACACATACACACACACACACACACACACACACACACACACACACACACACACACACACACACACACACACACACACACACACACACACACACACACACACACACACACACGCCCACATATTTACTCGAACAAACACACCTAGACATTCTAACGTGCACTCTCAGGCATTTCCAGGTAGCTCTTTCTCATTTTATTTTTATTTTTATCCCTCTCTCTTTGCGTGCCCCTTTTTCACGCGCCGCTCAGCACTTGGTCGGCAAAATATATCAGTCCCCAACCTCCTTTTTCCGTTTTAGAAGGACTGATACATATGTATTCCACAATTATCGGTTATCATTATTGTTATTATCATTACTATTATCATGATCGTCGTCATCGTCATCATCATCATTATTATCATCAATATTATTAACAATATTAGCATTGGTGTTATTGTTATTGTTATTATTTTTATGGTCATATTAATATTATTATTACTATTATTATCGTTATTATTTTCGTTGGGATCGTATCTGTATTATTTCTATACCTGTAGAAATAATCATGAATATATATGTATATATGTATCTCTCTCTCTCTCTCTCTCTCTCTCTCTCTCTCTCTCTCTCTCTCTCTCTCTCTCTCTCTCTCTCTCTCTCTCTCTCTCTCTCTCTCTCTCTCTCTCTCTCTCTCTCTCTCTCTCTCTCTCTCTCTCTCTCTCTCTCTCTCTCTCTCTCTCTCTCTCTCACACACACACACATTCTTAAAACAAAACAAAAGAAAACATAGAAATGTTTCCCTATTTAGTCAAATTCTTTGTCCACATACATGTCTGGAAATACAGCTTATTAGTATCACACTCAACATGAAACGTAGAACATATCATGCAGTGTTTATAGCGTTGCAAAAGGCCCCATGATAACCGGTTGCACTTTATTTTGTAATAGAAAGGGCCAATTGAGATGATTTCTTTCGTATAAGTTTACCACACAAAAATTTCATTCCGAAATTGAGCGTTATGTTTTTCACAATAAGTGAAAACAGGCGTGAAGAACCCTTAGATTTATTCCCGCAACTATGCCCCCAGGCCCTTACCTTTGCAATACCCTTCAGCATCATTTTGCAAGACTTGCATTCTGGTTAAGAGATTATTTCGTTTGTCTTGATTGTGTTGTGTTACTGTTTGATGTGTGTTATCATTTAGATATTTATTATATATGGTGTTTAAATTATAGGCTCTCTCTTTCCTGAATCTTTCTTTGCTTCATCTATTTCCTCTTTCGCTCTCTCTTCCTATTACTCCTTTCCCTCCTCTTCTCCTTCCTTTTGATATATATTATTTTTCAAATGTTTACCAGGCTCTGTCTGTCTCTCTCTGTATCTTTAATTTCCTTACCAGTCTCCATCCTTCCCTCTCTCTGTCTCTCTCCCCCCCTCCTTCCCTCTCCCTTTTACTTCTCCCCTCTCCCTCCCTCCCTCTCCCAGCCTCCTTTTCCTTTCCCTCTCTCCCTGTCCCTTCCTTCCTATCTCCCTTTTCCTCCTTCCCTTTCTCCATTCCATCCTTCTCTCGCCTTCCCTCCCTTTCTCCCTCCCATCCTCTCTCTCTCTTTCTCTTCCTTTTCCTTTTTCTTCCCCCTCCCTCCCTCTCCATATTTTCCCTCCCTCTCCCTTTCCTTTCCCCTTCCTCTCTCCAATCCCCTCCCTCACTCTCTCCCTCTGTTCCTCCCTCTCCATCCCCCTCTTCCTCTCCTTCGTTCCTTCTCTTCATCCCCCTCTTCCTCTCCTTATTTCCTTCTCTCCATCCCTCTCTTCCTCTCCTCCCTCCCCTCTCTCCATCCCTCTCTTCCTCTCCTCCCTTCCTTCTCTCCATCCCTCTCTTCTCTCCTCCCTTCCTCTCTCCATCCCTCTCTTCTCTCCTCCCTTCCTTCCTCTCTCCATCCCTCTCTTCTTCTCCTCCCTTCCCCGTCTTCCTCTCCTCCCTCCTTCTCTCCATCCCCCTCTTCCTCTCCTCCTTCCTTCTCTCCATCTCTCTCTTCCTCTCCTCCCTTCCGTCTCTCTCTTCCTCTCCTCCTTCCTTCTCTCCATCCCTCTCTTCTTCTCCTCCCTTCCCCGTCTTCCTCTCCTCCCTTCCTTCTCTCCATCCCTCTCTCTTCTCCTCCCTTCCCCGTCTTCCTCTCCTCCCTTCCTTCTCTCCATCCCTCTCTTCCTCTCCTCCCTTCCTTCTCTCCATCCCCCTCTTCCTCTCCTCCTTCCTTCTCTCCATCCCTCTCTTCCTCTCCTCCCTTCCTCTCTCCATCCCTCTCTTCTCTCCTCCCTCTCTTCTCTCCTCCCTTCCTTTTCTCTATCCCTCTTTTCCTCTTCTCCTTCCTTCTCTTCCTCTCTTCTTCTCCTCCCTTCCCCGTCTTCCTCTCCTCCCTTCCTTCTCTCCATCCCTCTCTTCTTCTCCTCCCTTCCCCGTCTTCCTCTCCTCCCTTCCTTCTCTCCATCCCTCTCTTCCTCTCCTCCCTTCCTTCTCTCCATCCCTCTCTTCCTCTCCTCCCTTCCTTCTCTCCATCTCTCTCTTCCTCTCCTCCCTTCCTTCTCTCCATCCCTCTCTTCCTCTCCTCCCTTCCTTTTCTCTATCCCTCTTTTCCTCTTCTCCTTCCCTTCTCTTCATCCCCCTCTTCCTCTCCTCCCTTCCGTCTCTCTCTTCCTCTCCTCCCTTCCTTCTCTCCATCCCCCTCTCCCTCTCCTCCCTCCCTTCTCTCCATCCCTCTCTTCCTCTTCTCCCTTCTCTCCGTCTCTCTCTTCTTCTCCTCCCTTCCCTCTCTCCATCCTTCCCTCCTTCTCCCCATCTCCGTCTCTCATCCTCTTTGCTAATAACATTCCGGGAAACCAGCCGGCAAAACCTATTTCAAGTTCCCGTTTTCTCTCTCTCTATCTCTCACACTCTCTCTCT